TTATAACTAAGAGGTGTTTTAAACAGTTTTTTTAACTTTTGCATACAATTTTACATGAAAGATAAATTTATTACTTGTTTATGAATATTCTTAAATAAATATTACCTTGTCTGCTTATTAACTTCATTTTACCTCTTGCATATATCATGAAAAAACAGCTTTAAATGTAAGAATATAATGTAATGCAGTTTCTACATTAAAATTATAAAAGTTGTATGTCCACAAATAATTTAGTTTTTAGTTGTGATCTCATTCGTTTAAAAGGTAAAATAGCATAGCAGGGTGCTTTGGATTCTTAAATAGTGAAGCATGAAAACTTGATCTAGATAATTTCTCAAGTATGACTACTGTTCCCCAATTTTGGCAGCCTTAATGTAACAATATTTACATAAAACGTTTAGTTAATTTACCAGAAACTTCAAACAAAAATATAGTAGAAGGGGTAGAATGTATGAAAAAATCCAACTATTTAAAAAAGAACATGTCAATATCTGTGGTTCCTGGAAAAAGATAGAGGGATGACCTATTAATATGTTCAGATTTTTGTTTTCTCTTAAAAATGTATTTACAACATTTATTTACCTCGGCCTTTGGAAAATACTCCTTTTCCATTGATATATAGAGTTTGGCAACTACTCAATTTTCTTCAATTATTAATGAACCAGGTTTAAATATTAATTTGATGTGTTCTTTGAAACCACTGATTTTATAACTCAATTATAATAAAATAAGCACATGGGAACCTTAATATTTAAATTTCACTATGCTCATATGTATGAGTTAAATCGGTTTAAACTAATTCAGATTCTGTGATGACTCTTTTGCTAGGTGAGTATGTCCTTTGATTCATATCCATAGTAAAAATCATTAAGGAGATCTGGGATTCAAATCCCTTATTGGAAATGTACCTATTTCAGGACACATGTTTAAGCTAAAATATAAACTTCTATTTGCGTTCGTCTCAGTAATAAAATTTAATTATTAATTCAAACCATGTTTACTCCATGAATTTTCAAAATATAAAAATAATTGTTTCCATCCCACTTGAATTAAATTCTTTCTGATTATTTGCCATCTCTTTTACAAAGATTTTCTAAAATACAAGTTCATATAGATTAGCAAAGCATATAGATAAAATAGTACTTGATTTTCAGCCCTATTTTCTTCATCCTATGGTGTCTATTTGCATAATATTCCAGTGACTGGTATCTGATCCATCCATTTGCCTGATGTCTCTCCTTAACTTTGAATCTAGAGCTCAATTTAAGTTCTAGTCTTTCTTGGATTATGTTTGAGTTAAAGGCAGTATTAAATTCCCTTTTCTTTCTGTCGCATGTTTTGTTGCTTGTTCTCTCTCTCTCTCTCTCTCCCCCCCCCCCCCCCCTTTCTTTCTGGTGGAGTTTTGCTCTTGCTTCCCAGGCTGGAGTGCAGTGGTGCGATCTCGGCTCACTGCAACCTCTGCCTCCTGGGTTCAAGCGATTCTCCCGCCTCAGTCTCCCGAGTAGCTGAGATTACAGGCATGCACCACCGTGCCCGTCTAATTTTGTATTTTTAGTAGAGATGGAGTTTCTCCATGTTGGTCAGGCTGGTCTCAAACTCCCAGCCTCAGGTGATCCACCCACCTCAGTCTCCCGAAGTGCTGGGATTACAGGCATGAGTCACCATGCCTGGCCTGCTTGTTCTTTCTATGAGAACTCTAAAATTGTCTCTCAAAGGGACAATAAGGAACTATGGGAAAAACTTACTCTTTATGATAGTAACCCTTAAATCTTAAATCTGTTTTTGTTTTTTATTTAGTTATTTTTTTGTACCGTGGGTTACAACATTTTAGCTGGTGCGAAAATCCATTGATGGTCCAGCATTTGTTTTAATAAAATGACATAATGAGACATAAAATATCAAAGTGCTTCAGAGGCCATAGAGTTAATTTATTTTTCTTTTAAACATTTATTTCAGTGTGTGTGTGTGTGTGTGTGTGTGTAAGTGTGCACTGGGATATTTGAAAATTGTGTTCTTTATGACTGTGTTCAGAAAACTGTAGTCTAATGATAAAGTTACTGTAAAAATCTTACCCTGTCTATATCATCAAGCACATTAATAAAATAACTTATTTGAACTTTCTTACAATACTTTGCTCAAAGCAAGCACTAACACACCATAAATAAAAATCAAGAGACACAATTACTCCATCCTTACTGTCAGACAAACTGTCAAGAATGATTGTCTGAACCACCTGGCAGCAGTTCTGCCCCTGAGAGTGAGTGCAGACACAGTGCACCAAGGTATGGAAACTCCATGGAATAGGGGGAGAAAGTGAGCTGTGGAAGCCAATGAATTTCCTTGTCTCAGGAGTCCTCCAGGAGTTCTCTTAGTGTCAGAGTTACAATAACCCTGAGTAAGGACAGTACAGCCTTTCCAAGGGCTTTTTTCCCCTTCTGAGCTGAATAAAAAAAGCATATGGGAATACATATATGTTATATATATATATGTATATGTATATTGGGATATATCACCACACTTGGAATAATTAGTCATTGTTCCTTTGCTAAGTTCTGTGTCATTTCATCAAATCCTCAAAAATTCTACTGCTTTTAGAAGCCTTATTGAACTAATTGGAAAATAGAGTAGCATCCCTCTCCCTTTTATTTAAGAGCATGTCACATTGGCTGGGTGCGGTGGCTCACGCCTGTAATCCCAACACTTTGGGAGGCCAAAGTGGGTGGATCACTTGAGGCCACAAATTCAAGACGAGCCTGGCCAACATTGCGAAACTCCATCTGTACTAAAAATACAAAAATTAGTTGGCCGTGATGGCGTAAACCTGTAATCCCAGCTACTTGGGAGGCTGAGGTACGAGAATTGTTTAAAGCAGGAGGCAGAGTTTGTAGTGAGCCAAGATCCTGCCACTGCACTCCAGCTTGTGTGACAGAGTAAGACTCTGTCTCAGAAAAAAAAAAAAAAAAAAAAGTACATGACACTTTGTTCATTGCATGTAACTCTTTGCTTTCCGTGATAATATTTTCTTTTTTTAAAGTGCCCACCTTTACTTTTGTCATTAAAAGACACTCTTTCTCATCATATTCTAACTTTCATTAACTACTGAAGAGTATAGGGACCATCTGTTTATTCACTTCTTAGGTATTTTGAATAGTGCTGTATACAAAATGATGCTTTAAAAATGCATGTAATGATCATTCCTTTTGAAATAGAAAAGAGTCACCATTCCCTCTCAATATTATAAATTGTATTTCCCCAAAATGCCATGCTTTATATTTTTCTAAACAGGATTTGATGGTTCCCATATGTTCCTAAATAAGAGTTTTCTTCTAGACACTTGTACAAATGTGAACAGTAAAAATGAATACTTTGTCCTTTTCCCTTTTAGCTGCTTCCCTAGGAAATCTCTATTTTGCTCCCCTCATTGGAAGGCCAAAATAGCAATGCCTTTGAGTGTTTCTCCCCTAGGAGCTTTTCCCTTTTCTTTCTCTGAAAGTCTAGAGAGCCAAATATCCTCTTAATGACTCGGCCACCTGAGCAGTCTTTGTCAGTGGCTTCCATGCCCTTCTCCCTCACAAAGACAGATCCCATTACACCGCACAGATTGAAGGGGGCCCTTCTGCTGGGATTTGGAATACTCCTGGGCACAACATCGGGGCCCACAGCCTTACATCCTTAGTTAGATATGTGTTTTCACTTGGGGAGGGCCTTTGGTATTCTGTGTAGCAACTAAAATGCATCTCCCTACACACACCCTACTCACCCCCTACTTCCTCTTTTGTCCTTACTTCTGTATCACCCCTCCCATCTCCAGATCTCTCTTGTGTCTCTTCCTTAAATACCTGAGGTTCTATGCCCATGCCCCAGCATACTATCACACCTTTTTTCATCCTCTCTCTCTCATCAGACTCTTGCTATCCTGCCTTATAATCTGGAGCTGAAAAATAAATCTGGGATAATGTGGTTGTGGGGCCTTGTAGTGTTCTGTCCAGGTATCATAGTTGCATATGTACAAAGGTCTTTCTGAAGATAGAGTATCAGTGGAATTTTTGGTAATCTGCAGTATGCATGCACGTTTTGATCAGGAATGTGCTTTCTATCTTTCTTTTTGTTCATGGGTTCCACTAATATTTTTCTGTGACCCTCAAATGATCCCATGTAGATGAATACCTGGTTATTCCATACTTAGGACTTAGAGCCCTTTGTATTTATAAACCAACAGATTTTTTCTCCTAAACATTTGGAGTGAGAAAAAGAAATCCTTGTTAATTTAAATAAATCACTAGGTTGGTTTAAAAATAAGGAAGCAACTGATTTTACTTGATTATTTCACTGAAATACAACAACAAACATCTATACAGTACTTATTATAAACCATGTACATTACTAGTATTATTTTATTTAACAATAAGAGCAACCCTATGAGGTAGATAATATTATTATGCCCATATTATGAATAAGGGAAACAAAACTCTGTAAGTTAATCAATAGGTTCATACAGCGAGGAGTGATGAAGTCAGATTTTGACACAGGTAATCTGTGAAACTACTGCGCTCAATCAGAGTAATCAAGTCAGTTAAAATAGGAACATAAAATCTTTCCTTGGTTTGCAGTTGGATATTAGCTTTGAAAGCAAGCACTAACCAAGAGGAATCTGACTTTCTTCTAGAGGCTGATATAGAATGATAGTTTCTTTATTTTTAATGTATGTATACATGCATTGGCTGAACTGTTAGAGGCTCTCAAACACTATTTGTTGGCTGTACACTTTGGTTTTCATTCTCAAGTTCAAATGGAACCATTTAGTCTGTCTTATTTCTAAAGTTTCTTCATACCATGGGTTTCTTAATTTCTCTAGGAAATACTAGAAAGTGAGGATAGAAAGAATAATAATATTTCTCTGCCTCCAAAGAGTTAACCATTAAGCAGATGAAAGACAGAAAGATAATTATAACACATTGGTGCTTTTTAAAGACTTGTGCATTGTCCTCTCTTTGCAATAGGTACCATTTCTGTCAACACATTGCGTACTCCCTACACTGCTCCTGGTGAGAGTGAGATTCTGGACCTGGATGATGAGTTGTACCTGGGGGGCCTGCCAGAAAATAAAGCTGGCCTTGTCTTCCCCACCGAGGTGTGGACTGCTCTGCTCAACTATGGCTACGTGGGCTGCATCAGGGATTTGTTCATCGATGGCCAAAGCAAAGATATCCGGCAAATGGCTGAAGTTCAAAGTACTGCTGGAGTGAAGCCCTCCTGCTCAAGGGAAACAGCAAAACCGTGCCTTAGCAACCCTTGCAAAAACAATGGCATGTGCAGGGATGGGTGGAACAGATATGTCTGTGATTGTTCCGGAACAGGCTATCTTGGCAGGTCATGTGAGAGAGGTAGGATTCTAAAACCCCAACAGCCAACTCCCTGAGATGAAAAGTGTATTAAATGTTGACCTCAAACCTGTACTGACCATTGAAACATAATGCATACTCTACTGAAGTAAACTCTGTTTGCAAGCTGAGCAGCCATACCTGACATGGATTACTAATGAGCTCTTAATGTTTTTCAAAGAGCTTGATTCTGAAAGGACACAGCTCTTAAGTATATTGCAGGAATAGAAACTTGAATCTTTAGTATCCTCTAGAGTATGAGCCTAAGATGTATTATAGACAATAACTACTGTCTTTTTTGCCCAGTTTTTAACTTCAGAACATTAGACAGTAAAAGAGGCGTGAATTAGACATACCTATGGCTTCTAGTGCTAATACCCATGGTAAGAAATAGCATTTGAGGCAAACTAAGCTATTAGTTGCAACTTCCCTGACCCAACTGGGTGAGACTTAAGTTAGCCTGTTCATTTCACTTCAGTCAACTTACAAAAGAGGCAATATCCTCTCTGAAAAGTAAGCTGACTTTCAATCACCTAAGGTACACCAATGTTTCTGGAAGTGTACCCTAATAGAAAAAGTACTTACCTTTGGCTAGGACCTAACCAACTGCAGAGGATTCATTTACCAATTTGCTATTATGGCTTAGCTGTGCCTATTGAAGTTCTGAGCAGGTGCCGCCTCTCTTTTGCTAATAGGAGGCAAACCTACATTTTATTTTTCTTTTTCTCACCCTATAAAATAAAAGGAATGAGGATTCAAAGAAAACTGAAGGGTAATAGCCGTCCCAGTTGATCTGCAGAACAGGCTAAAGGAATAAATAGCAGAACAAATAGTTCTAAGCTTATTCTTCCATTGACCCAGTGTTTCAGAAAAATGCTTTAGTCACTGCACCCATTGTCACTTATTTTCAACAATGGAGCTAAAAATCAATATGAAAAAATACTGATGAGTTGTTCCATTGTCCTCACCTGCTACAAATAACATTCCTTTATTGCATATTTAGCCTAAAAGTACCTGGCATCTATTTTTAAGCTATGAATATTTATTGTTGTCCTTTCTTATTCCTGAAATAGTTCAATTCAGTTTGCCTAAAACCTCCTAGGAAAAAGAGGGGTTGTTTTGTGAAATCTAAAATTGAAATCTGATTTTGGTTATTTATCTTAAAAAGGAGGTACATCAACTTATTCTATGATTAATATTAAAAATATAAATATTTAACAGTAATATAGTAATCATATATTAAACCGCTTACCATATGCTATTATTATTGTGTGTCATGCAATTAGATGGGTCAATAGATGGATATGTTATCACATAGATATAGATATATTCATTCTCTTTATGATAGTAGCTAACTGCAATTTCTGTGAATTGTCAGTACAACTTAGCTATTTCTGTATAGTTCAGTTCGTATGGTGTATATTCTTTATAAGTTTCCTCTTTGCATTTTTCTTCCCAATTTTAGTTTGTGTGTTTAGTTTTGTTTTTGGAAATTGCCAAAAGGATGAACAATGAACAAAGCTTGCAAGGTATAATACAGTTAGGCATAATATGAGATTAGTGGACTTGCATGATTTAAGGTTTTGTTTTAATTTTAATCACTCAGAGAGCTGCCAGTTATTCTGATGCCTCTTGGTTAAGTGAAGCTGAAAAAAGGGTATAACTCAACTGTCACATATATTATGGAAGCTTTCTGTTAAATATGCGTGGTGTACCACCCTGTGGCAATATTCTGCTACTACATATGGCAAAAATGAAAATAGAAATTGTAGACTTTTTGAGCCAGGATGAGAGAGAAGAAATATTTATATATTGCAATGATTAGAAAAAGGGTCAGCAAGCATATGTAGATTTGTAAATGAGAATTTAATAGCAAACTTCATCATTGGGATTCGGCATACGTCTTTATCTGATAGGAGGCTGGACGTTTCTGCAGATTTCATTGTCTCCAGGTTGGCTATATGCATTTTTGGGTGGTTCTTGTTACTGGATTACCCATGTGTATTGCATGAGTCCTTTGCTTTTCAGAATTAATTTTCTTGCTCACGTTAGGGTGCCTCCTGACAGCAAAGGAAATGTGTGATGGTTGTCATACTCAATACCACAAAATTTAGTTTCTGTCCAGCTCCTGGCTATTATGCCCTAGTTCAGTTAACACAAGATCATGCCTGAACCTCTGAGTTTCCAGTGTAAAAGAAGGGGCTTTGATTGAGTTTCTTCTCCAGACACACATTGATCAGATAAGGCTGTTGTTGATCAAATACGAGTTGACAACTCTTCAAGTTTGTTTTTTTTTTTTTTTAAGATAACTTTTAAACTTGTTTTCTTATTATTGAGCAAAAATTGATAATTTAATATTTATGAAAATAATTATTCAAAGTAATTAAAAAGCATGTCCAACTCCTTGGATTTAGAAAGTTCACCATGGAAAAAGTATGTTGTAATCACATTATAGGAGATGTTTATCCTGCCTAAGGGGGCAAAGGAGTTTATAAGAAAGAACAAAATACTTGCTAACTTAGGCAGACAAGAAGAGAGAATTTTGTTTTACATGTTTTGATCCTATAAGAAGGAGTAGTACAGAAATAATGTTCAATGAATAAAAGTTAAATTTAGTACCTTCCCTTCTGCTTTATTTTTAATAAAACTGAGAATTTGTGGAGACTTGATCATATAAAAATTATTCTCAGTCATATGTAAGAATAAGAGCATTGATATAATCAGATATCTACTTTATACTGTTTGTTAAATTCTAACAGATGGAGGGACAGATGTCAGAGCAATATAATTTGGCTCCCTGTCTGATTTTCATCGTTGATCACAATATGTGACTGCCTTTCGGCAAAACTGAGTACAGGTGTACACTTTAGACTGCAACAAAGAATAATGCAGAAAAGCAAATTTATCAAACTTAATGACAAGGGAGAAGGAGATATAGAAGACAAAGTTGAAACTGTTTTTCTCCCCCAGTGGGAAGTATTATACTAGAATTAGCCTTTTAAAGATTTATTGTATATTCTAAATGATGAAATAATTTTACTAGTGTTCAAGGATGCTGCCAAAGAGCATAACCTTCAAATGTCAGAATGTTGTTTACCATTTATTTGGCAACTCTAGACTACAACCCTGTGCATTTTCCATTTCTTGTCTAATTAAACATTAACTCTAATTATGAGGAATCATTTAGACTTTCATTTGTCATTTATCAACAAGTTATTTTCACATTGAGAATTATTTAAAATGACACTCGGGGGCACTCAAGTTTTATTACTTTACTATGTTATTTCAGTCCTGCAGCTTTTTGGAGAATGTTAAAGGCTAATGATTCTGATTATTTTTTTCTCTGGGTTGTATTTCACACTATATTTATGATCCATTGTCAGTCATCTGTATTTCTAAAACGAGGTGCCCCCTATTTAGTTTTCAATCAAATTAAGCTAATTTTCCCAGAAGAATATGATTATTTCAAAAATATGATTATTGAATAATAGATCCTAGTTGTACAGATTAACTAAAGAGGAGAAAACAAACACTGTTTTGATCATTTTATCTGTATGATACCAAAGTAACTGAACACATGATAATGGCTTTAACCCTTTTTTTCAGGTACTTGTTGCTTTACAGGTATGGATCATGATTGTCTAGTTTAGGAAAAGCAAAAGTAAAGATCAAATTTCTTTTAAAATTATACCACAATCATTTTTCTCTCTAGAATTCACTATAACTTTACACTCAGGTTTTAATTATTTTTTGAGCAACAGCAATTTGGTTATTTGCACTGTTCTTTGACCACTGGGATTTCACTCCCATTTGAGAAACTTCTTGCCTAATTGGAAAAAAAATATGATGTGATATAGAACCACTATATTTTTGAAAGACCATATTTTGTTTTATCAGTGCTTAGGGCATTGCCTAACCATGAGGCCCCTATTTTAGCAAATAGACACTTCCCTAGCCTATATTCTGCCGCTCAATTTTGGCCTTCAAAGTGGACTTTATTAAATATTTTGTTCATGCACATTACTGAAATTAGATTTCACTTGCAATAAGCAGATTAAATACTTAATTTCTTTGGTAAGCATTTATGTAAGCTTGGTATTCAAATTGAAATTAGCTCACTGTGTGTGTGTGTGCAATTATTGATTCAATTAATATTTATGGAGGCTCTGCTGCGGGCCTGGCATCATGGGGGCACTTGCTGCTGATAGAGCAATGCATATAAGAGACTGATCTCTGCCCTCAAGGTGCTTGTATTCTAAAGGGCAAATACAGATAATACTATACAAGCAAGAAATGATCATTTTAACAAAATGAAATGGTGAATATCTATTGAATAACTAGAGGGGATAGCAGGCCTCTCTGAAGTAACATTTGAGCAAAGACCTGAATGCTGAAAGAACCAGCTATTTAAAGATCTGGGGTGAAACATTTTTCAACAGAGGGATCTAAAAGTGCAAACACTTCAGTGAGATCAAGAAATTGGTGTATCTGGAGCTCACTGAGCAAGAAAGGGGACATACTTAAAGCTGAAGCCAGAGAGACGGACTGGGGCCAGGGTCACACTGATCTTTATAGGTTAAAAAAAGGTAGGAACACAGTTGAGGGAGCTACTACAGTGATGTAGGTGAGAGATGAGAGCAAAGTCTGAGGGACATTAGTGGCAGAGGTGAGCAGCAATCAATTCAGAATGTGGATTGGAATTAGAGCCTGTAGGACTTGCAGACTTGTAAATGGATTGGACATGGCAGAGAGAGTAAGAGAAATCAGAAAGCTTTAGGTCAGAGCAATGGGTTTATCACATTTACTGCGATGGAGAAGACTGAGGAAGGAGCATGTTTTGAGTTTGTTCGTTTTTGAAGGGAGTGAATTAAGAGTTTAATAAGGTACCTATCATATTCCAAATGAAAATTTTCAATAGGCAGTGAATGCTAGAGCTCAGGAGAGAAGTCAGAACCCTTAATAAATATTAGAGGAGTGAGCATATGAGTTGACTGAGATCTCTTAAGTAAAGAGGTAGATGGAAAAGAGAAGGAAGCTAACCTAAGCAGGGAGACCTGGAACAGTCAGTGCTTGGAGAGGCTCTGGATGCTCACTTAATCCCATAATGACAATAAATAATGATTAAAGTCTTATAGAAACAGTACTTGACTTTCTGAAAGATAAACTTGCAAAACCACAACTCTGAATATAGTCCCAATATTGAACACAGTTGTATCAGTACAGTTAATTGCTATGCTGTGTAAGTAGGCAAAATAATGAGAATTTCCAGGTTCATTTTAATTCCAGGTATTTTTTCTTTATTAAGTATCATCCTGAGTTGTTGGAACCAATGAGAAAGCAAACTGATTCATGCTTGTTTTGCAATATTCCACTACCATATAGTACTTAACATTAAGGAGTCCTGACTCTTTCTTAAAGCCGTCAGGTTGTCATCAACAGTTTTTCTATTCATTTCTTTGTGTCTTTAAGACAGTACTAAGCAACTTCCCTATTGATGCCATCTACCTTGATTTAGTAACAAACATCCTTAAAAGTTCCTCAGTCCCACCCCCATGCTTATTTAGTATAACAAAGGCACATCATTATGCTTTGGGTGACAACATATTCAGGACACCAGGGTTGTGCTAATAGATAATATTTAAAGTTACTCCCCTTCTATAAATTAACCTTAAAAGGAAGCAACAGTTGAAGCCTTTGTAAAAATTACCTTGCTAAACATAATGGCTCAAAAGAAGCATTATCTGTTGTTTGGTAATATCAGTTTTTCTTTTTTCTTTTCGAACATCACCTTTGGTAAAGTACTGGCCCAATTCCTACAGTTAAGCCATATTTCTTTTCTTTTTTTTTCTTTTAAAAATAATTCCATCAGGGCAGAGATTATGAAAAAATGATGATAGTAACTTCTCCTAGAACTACAGGTTTTTAGGACAGATCAAAGCCCTAAGAAATCTTCTGGCAGTACCCTCTTATTGTACAGATGAATAATTCAGAGCCCAGGCAAGGTTGACCAATTTCACAGAACTGGTCAGTGGGCTCACCGTACATAAACATGAATTGAAAAGTTGCTGGAGGCTGGGCACAGATTCCTTTTGGGAACCTGGGTGAGAGGGTCACTTGAGCCCAGGAATTTGAGACCAGCCTAGGCATCAAAGGGAGACCCATCTCTAGAAAAAAGTGTTAATAAACTAGCCTGGCATGGTGTCATGTGCCTGTGGTCCCAGCTACTCAGGAGGTTGAGGTGGAAAGATTGCTTGAGCTCAGGAGGTCATGGCTGCACTGAGGTCCCACCACTGCACTCCAGCCTTGGGAATAGAGACTTTGTCTCAAACAAACAAACAACAATAAAACCCAAACAAATACAACCAAAAAAAAAAAAAAAAAAAATCTGCAACTTTGCTGGTGTTTCAAACTAGGCTCACACTGTGACTCTACAAAAGAACGTGATCTTTGCTCTTGAGAAGGGAGACACATAATCAAACCCTCAAAATTCAACATGATTAATGCTATAAGTAGAAAGTGCTATGGGAAAAGAAGGAAAGGAAGGAAGGAAGGAAGGAAGGAAGGAAGGAAACGAAACTGATGATATCTCTGTTTCTGGGCTTTAGAAAATATCTCACAAGGGAAGTCCTCTACTCTGACCTCTTTTCCAGCTTACAGTTTTGTTTATTTTTGAAGAAGATGAATTGATTTTGTAGTATTTTGTTCTAGAAGTCTTAAATAAGTGATAATAAATGATCCTTTTCCTTATTAAAGTATTAATGCACTCTACCATCCAAGAACTTATTATATTCATTTTCCATCTCTAGAGGCAACGGTTTTGAGCTATGATGGGAGCATGTTTATGAAAATTCAGCTCCCTGTAGTCATGCACACGGAGGCTGAGGATGTTTCCTTACGGTTCCGATCCCAGCGTGCATATGGCATTCTGATGGCAACCACTTCTAGAGACTCTGCTGACACCCTCCGCCTGGAGCTAGATGCAGGACGTGTGAAACTGACGGTCAATCTAGGTAACAACCTGTCTTCCCCCATTGAACTAACACTTTTTTACTTTTTGTTCAATTTTGCCTGCAAACATTGATCAAGTAGCCTGTTTGCCATGGAAAATTAAAACACTTAATGGTCTTATTTCCATCATTTAAAGTAATTTTAGGTTTTGGGGGGCATCTTTTTATTTTTATTTTTTTTATGTTTAACATAACTTACTGTTTTGTGATTTCTACCACTGAGGGTTCTTAAAAGAGAAGCCATGTCTGTCAGTGAGGTTAATTGAAAATGTAAATGATTAAGCCTGAGGTTGCCTCAAGCTGAATTTTCTGTTGATATATTCACTAACATTTAGATTGGTTGTAGGTGACATCTTTGCAGATAAATAAAAACATGTTTATTTAGAAAAGATTTGCACAAAATATCAAATTTCTGCTTTGTTATTGAGATCAACAGCTGTTCTTACTCGACTCCATGGGCTTCTCCTTTGAATAGTCACCTTTGTGGTACCCCATCTTTTCTGTTTTGGAGTACTGTGTAGTGGTATTTTGCTATCAAATAGCGATCCACAACCCTTCAATGCCCAAAGTCTGCGGCCCTTAGCAAACAGCCATGAGAACACTAGAGACACAGGCTCTTCTACAGAGAGATAATGCTTTCCTGCTTAATTGTAGCATTAAGAAAGACTCATTACAGTAAAACCTCACCAATCTGGATGAATTATGGGGAAAAACCAGGCTGAATTAGGAAAAAGTCTGAATTGCAGATTTTAAAATTTATTTAAGCAGTTTTTATTTTTTATAAATTATACTCAAAATCATAATAGTTTGGAAAGTCTTATCAAGGAAAGGACTGTCTAGGCTGATTTTAGTGGTTGGATAAGATTTAATTATAATTAGCACATTGTTTCATGCCAACTGTGCCATCAACATAAAGTACTGGAAATCAGTTGTTTTCCCAAACTTGGCTTTTCAAAATCTTGTTTATGAGTTTAACTTTATTTTTTTCCTTAAGAGAGTTTTGCTCATATCAAAGGAAGAATTAATATTCTGCCCAAATTTGCAGTGTTATCACTGTTTCAAAATAAGAGGAGTCAAAATTAATGAGGTTTTACTGTATTTTTGGCAGTGTTAAACACACGTAGATAGAAATGAATAAACAGAGAGAGAAAAATAAAATTTGAAACTACGTAGATTTACCTAAAAAAAAAGAGTAATAAAATGTGATGAGGTAAGGCATTTGTGGAAACCCCACCTACATTTTCAAATTGTGCTGGGCAGAATGATAACTCATAAAATATAAAATTATCCCATTGGTATCTTATTGCATATAGTTATATTTAATTAATATTAGTGAAATTAAATAATAAGGTTAAAAAATACTACTTTAAGAACACAGAGCACTCTCCTTTACCGTTCTGTTAGAGTACCCTCTAGTGACAATGACAGGTTATTACAAGCCAATCAAAACAAATCGCCTAATTGCATGCAGTGAAGCTGCTGTTAGTCAAAGTGGAAACACTCATGAGAATTTTCGAACAGCAAAGCATTCTGTAGAAAGAGCTGTGTAGGTGCTGGTCCTTGGCTGTTTGCAACCACTTTTCTGATGCGGTTGACGACACATGACAAACTCAGCTATATGGAAACAGAATCTAGGTTTATATTTTTTATGTTCCCCAAAGGCATTAAATAATAAAACTCAAACCAACAAATATATATAAAATAAATAGAAAACATCCTACATAGTCTTTTAAAAATAACCGCTATAATTACAGTTTGTGTTACCCATACCAGATGTTCTGTTCTTATAGTAGCTGCTTTCATATAAAGCAGGTATAAGAAAGGGAAAATCAAGAAAGGAAAATCAAGGGAACTATGACACTTATTACATAGAGATAGCATTGTTAGCTCCTAAGAGAGGCATAGGCTTGTGTGCTTTGCATAATGACTGCTCCTTAGCCACTGGAGTTTCTAAAGGAATCATACAGTTGTTTCTTTCCTCCTCTTATTAACACAAGGTATGGAATCCAGCCAACATCTGGCAGTTACCTTTTTATGCCCAAGCAAATAAAATTTAAAAACAAAACAAAAACATTTAGAGCAAGATAAGAATAATTTTAACTTGCTTTCCATTTGACCGCTGCAATTCTGAAGGATTCTGTTGGCCTTTGTGGGATATTAGATTTCAGAGGTCCAAGATGCCTGAGCCTAGCTGAACCTGCACCGTACCCCATTGTGACGGAGCACTTTTACATTTTGCGGAAAACAGTGATATGTTCTTTCACAGATGGGGGGAAAGTTGCAGCCAGTCTAAGCCAAACATCTTTGACATTTAACAACTCTTTACTTCACTTAGATTTGTCACCATGTAGCTTTGTTTGAATTGGCCATTTTTAAAAACTTCTATTGTTTCCAATGGTAAACTTTTATAACAATACACCTGGGCTTTATAAGTATGTAAAGAATAATGATACTGAGTGGCCATATTTGCATGTGTCTGTCCCCGGAAGGGTGGACTGTAATTTTATTGGATGTCTGCAGCTATTACCTTGAAGGATGAATTTTCATTTTTCATCTATTCTTCCCCATCTAGATTGTATCAGGATTAACTGTAATTCCAGTAAGTGCCTATTCAAAATTTTTAAAATGTTATTCCTCCATTATGATGTAAGCTAGTCAAGAAAAAAAGAGAGAGAGAGCAAGAGAAATGTGTTTATAAAACTCATGAACTCACTTTTAAAGTATACCAGTCCATCATCTGGGTTGTAAAAATTCATTTAAAAATTTGTACAGCTGAAGACTTTCCCACCGCAGTTCCTACCTCTATGTGGAAAAAGAGGTGACAAATGTTTTGTAACAGAATGTGCCAGCACCTTGTAGACCTTTAGATACTGCAAGTGGCATTTGTGGACTCCAGTTGTTCTCTTCATAACTAAATGGGAGAAAATATTCTGGTTCTTGTTTTCTTTTGTCTTTATCTTTTAACTCAAATACAAAAAAAAAAAAAATGTTAATTCCTCTTATTTCGAGAGTTACTATTAAACTCATCTAAAGTTTTACATAGACATAAAAAATTACTTGTCTAAAATGTTCTTCTTTGATCATTAAGAATGTTTATATGATGAATTTTTACATCCTAATCATATCTCTGCAAAAATAACCAAAACCCTTCAAATTTGTGACATGCATGCAAACTGATGAGTCTGAAAAGATGCATGGACTGAGTTTTCTTTGAATTTGGACGAAAATCTGAAAGGATAAAAGGACTGTGATTTTATTTTGAGTTGTAGTGTTATCTTAAGAGTAAACCTATTTATTTCTGTACATAAATGCTCAGGTTTTTCCTTTCCAGGTTGTGCTGATCACATTAAGAAATCTCCAATGATCACAATGCAAAGTCATGAACAATTTAAATAAAATGGTTCTAACAAACTTCTAATCTCTCATTGTCATAATAAAGAATTTTTAAATTTATTTTATCAAAACAATGCTGAATTGGCCATGTTTTCAAGTGGCAATAAGGCATCCTCTAAGGAACAAACAGAGGTCTTAAACTTGCAAAAACAAGACCATTTTTCTACTAAAATACATACCGTTTCAAACACTGTGCCTCTTACAACTCATAATTCTATCCATATATATTTAATATTCTTTTTAAAATAACATTAAAATGAGTTTGCTCAATCACACCAATAAAAAAGTAACAGAATGATGACTTATTAAAAATTAAGTTAATAAATTATAACCAATATCCCAGGCATTTAAAAAGATCTCAAACAAAATAGTTCCTGAAAATAAACTGTCAAAGCTCTCACGTAAGTAGAATTTTTCAAAGATATGTCATCTCCTCTCCAACTTTATCTCCTCCATGCATTCCTAAAAGGAATACACAATTTGCACATCTAATACCAGGTCCAGTTTGCTTTCAGCTCTGGGACATAGATGCAGGCAAAGTGGCAACTCACAAAATACTCTCTGCCAAAGCCATGTCTGTGTCTCACTGCAGCTATAGGTTTTCTTGATCTCTCCTGTATCTTAGCAAATCCATGTGGGGACAATGTTCCTTTCTAGAGCTTTACCTGATGTACTCTTTTTATTTTATTTATGCGAAGCATGCAACAAAGCATGCCTTTTTGAATTTACAAAATGTAACTCTGTAAACTATAGCAATTAATGAAAATTATTCAAATAACATGTTATTCTGGATTCTGTGGCTTTATCAATGATTTTTTAAATGTATCTTTATAGTATAATTACCCTTGTTAGACTCGTTTGCCATTTGGCTTATATCATGAGACTATAGTATTGAGGATAGTCTTATTTTTCCTCTGGATGTTCCACAAAATAATACCTTTGAGGACAAAGGTTTTTGCTGTTTAGTGAATTGTTTTCCCTTTTTAATGAGTATGTGATACTTAAATTCAATTAATGATTGTGAGCTTCCAGTGTACACATCGGACAGGACTGTACATTCCTTAACTTGACAGCAGTCACTGGAAAGAACATTCAATCAACAGGTAACATTTTCATTTCCTTTGTCTCTGTTTTATTCGGGGAATAGGGGGCAGGTGTAGTAAGAAACCCAAGTTCCATAAAAGACTCGCCTTTGAGGAAAGGGAGGAATTTACATTCCAGATAATGCAAACCTAACACACAGTGATTAAATGAGCAGTGATTTCTACTTGGAGTGCGTTTTGTACTCAATAAAAACTAAATTAACAATGTCTGTATCTCAGCATAACTTGCAGTTTAATGAAAGACTGATTTATTACATGTGTCCTCTGTGAGCCATAGGTTTGTCTGAGACTGAGAAAATTAATGTACATTTATTAAATAACAGCCGGTAACACCATTATCTCTAAAAATTGTACCATACCTAAGACATCAACTGTATTGTGAAATTAATATGAAATACCTCAATTGATATTTTTTAAGAAAATTGTCACAAGAAATATACAAAGTAAAACATAAAAGATTATCTTACATTAAAAACTAATATTAAACTCTAAGTTATTAAGCTTGAATGGAAACTTCCCCAGAAACACCTTTCTACCTTTACTTAAAATTGTGCTGCTGTTTCCTATAGTCATCTTATCTTTCCCTACCCCACCACCGAGTTTACAGCATTTGTACTTTATATGAAAAATATACATAGTGTCAGACTGTCTAATCTTTGCCAGTGAAGAATGAGTGGTAGGTGAGGAGGGTAGAGGGTCTAATTTCTGTATTCAAATCTGCAGGACTATAAGAGATGGCAGATATGTTTCTTTTCCTGCCACTCCTGTGTCAGTAGTTTAGATGCAGTGACAGAGTCTTCCATGGACATGCTAGGGCACAGCCCTTTGTTAAAATTTCCTCTGAGAAACGGCAGATCTGAATTCCAAGTATCATCTCTGTCAGATTCCTTATTGCTACCATTTCTTCCCCTGGGAAGAAAAGCTATCAAGCATCCTTAAATGGAAGAAGAGAGCCTCTTTTCATTTAAAAATAAAAAAGCTTATTTTCAGATATAGATAGGGTACTTTCTTTAAAAAGCTGTTTCTGTGAATAATGGCCATTTCACTGCCAAATGTATGTTTTGATCTTTCAGGTTACAAACAGAGTGTGACTGCACACAATCCCAGACTCATCTCAGTTTCTTGTTGCTCATTATGAGATGGAGTCTTGCTCTCTCACCCAGGCTGGGGTGCAGTGGTGCAATCTCAGCTCTCTGCAACCTCTGCCTCCCAGGTTCAAGCTATTCTCCTACCTGAGCCTCCCAAATAGCTGGAACTACAGGCGTGCACCACTGCGCCTGGCTAATTTTTGTGTTTTTAGTAGAGATGGGGTTTCACCATGTTGGCCAGGCTTGTCTCGAACTCCTGACCTCAGGTGATCTGCCCGCCTTGGCCTCCCAAAGTGCTGGGATTACAGGTGTCATCCACCACACCCATCCTCAGGGACATTTCTGCATCCATATAAAAATAGATTTAATAAACTCATGATCTCTGGGGCTTGTTGTGTTTGCATTATTTGGCTTTCTTTATGCCTTATTACATTTGTCTCTTCTCGTACCTACCTGCACTTCCTTTCTTTCTATTAAGATTCACTCTTCTTACTGCTCCATTTCCAGTATTGTTTCTTCTGTTATCTTTTTTCTTGTCTTCTTAAAAGAATAAAAACTCTTTGGGGTTAAAAAAATATTTAAGCAGACCTTCCAAGTACTTTTGGCTTCTCACAGAAAATGATGTATTTAAGAGGCAGACACAACAAAATTACATATAACATTAGTGTGAACAAAGCATCAAGGGCTGAAGTTCAATTTCTATTTGCAGTCCAGTGCCCAAGTATTGGAGAGAATGGGGCATCTAAGGACAAGTACTTAACCTCACTTTTGACTTGGGTATAGGGAAGAAACACTTTGCATAGTATGTTATTGAAAAATGTACTTTGATGGGTGTCTGGAGTAGATAATAAGATCTTTGTGTTATCATTTTATTACCAGAATGAAAAGATCAACTGGATATTAGTTATCACCAATTTTTGTGTAGATAAAAATGGAAGGCAATAAAAAATGCAAAATGTCAACCACTGGCACTTAAGCCATATTAGATTGCTTTGATCAGGCTGCCATTTGGGAAGCTACTTAAAAAGACAGGAGGAAATTTCTGGGGGCTGGAGCTTGTTAACATAAAGTAAATATTTAGTTCAGAGTCGCTACTCGATGCCTGAGAGCAGAAAACTGTAAAAGGGAGTCTTTTGTCTCTGCCTTCATACAGCAGTCACTTGATTTGTGGAATTTTGCCAGTCATTGCCTGTCAGTGACTGGTGCTATCCACCTGTCTAGGATAGAAGTTGCTCAAGAAATAAGGAAATTTCAAAGTAGAAATATACAAAACAGAAGTCTTGTTGGTTTTTGTTGTTGTTTCTGTTTTGTTTTACTTAAAGTATATGTGAAGGAAATGAAAAGAAAGTTTATAAATAATTATTTTCAGCAAAAATCTAAAAAAAATTGCATGTAAAATGTAAAGAATGAACATAGATTTCTGACAGAAAACAACTAAAAACAGGCAGAGTATTGGCACATGACAACAGGTCTTTAGAAAAATATCAAAATTGAGGCCAGGTGCTGTGTCTCACGCCTGTAATGCCAGCAGTTTGGAGGCCGAGGTGGGTGGATCACCTGAGGACGGGAGTTCTACGACCAGCCTGACCAACATGGTGAAACCCCATCTCTACTAAAAATACAGAAAAGCTAGCCAGGCATGGCGGCAGGTGCCTGTAATCCCAGCTACTTGGGAGGCTGAGGCAGGAGAATTGTTTGAACCTGGGAGGCGGAGGTTGTGGTGAGCCGAGGTCATGCCATTGCACTCCAGCTGGGGCGAAAGAGCAAGACTCCGTCTCAAAAAAATAAATAAATAAATTGGAATAAAAATACATGGAAGCCCATTTAACTTATCCACATGTTTAAACTTATGAGAATTATAAAGAATAATACAGCTTTTATTTCATATTTAGATGGCTACGTGGATTAAGCAACAGAATGATATGGTGAGTGGTTGAAAAGTAGATAACTTTGGTCTATTTTAGTGAATAATTAATCTATTGATTGCTTATATGCAAATATAAAATGCTATGATG